ATTAAAAATACACTGGAAAGGAATTACTAAGCAATAGCTTGGGCTTAATAAAAGGTGCAAGAAGTCTATAAAGTTCATTTTTATTACATCTATTTAGCTAGTGAGCCTGTGGGAGGGTGTGCACATGCCACAGTACCTGGTGGAGGTGAGAGGACAATTTGCATAAATCGGTTCTCTCCTTCCACCATGTGGGTCCCAGGACTGACTGAACTCAGCTTGTCAGGCTTGGTGGTAAGTGCCTTTACCCATCAAGTGATCTAACTGTCCAGTGTTTTATTTGAGCAAGTTGGCAGAGTGTAAAACATGAAGTTTGATGATAAGAAAGGAAAAGTTTCAGAAGTGTGGCTATTTTTATTTTGTTTGTTTTAGAGTGTATATATTCATGCATGTGTGTATGCAGTTTGTGTGTGCACATGTATATATACGTGTATACATGTGTGATGGCCAGAGGTCAACCTTGGGTGTCTTTCTCAATCACTGTTCACCTTGTGTTGTTGTTGTTGAGATAGGGTGTCATTATGTAGCCTGGAACTTACTACGTAGAACATTCCAGGCTGGTCTGGATCTCACAGACTTGCACCATCACACTTGGATTCCATCTTGTTTTTTGAGGCAGGGTCTCTCATCAGCCTGGGCCTCAACTACTCAGCTAGATTAGAGGCTAGTGAATTCTAAAGATCTTGCTGGAAGTCTCTGCTTCCCTAGTGGAGGATTTTAAGTGTGTGTCACCACATCAGGGTTTTGTACGTGGGTTCTGGGGATCAAACTGAAGCCTTCATGCTCGTGCAGCAAGGACTTTTCCAAATGACCATCTGGCAGGCCAAGCCTGGCCTTCTGATGAAGATGGTCCCTCAGGCAGCTGCCACCAAGAGCTTCCCTAAGAAATTCTTGCTGGCTTCAGAGGTTTGCCGCCATGCACATGTACCTGTGTCTACCTCTAGGTTTCAAGAAGGGCCAGTTCTCACTGAGAGACCCCAGAAATGAACATAAACCAAGGAAAGAAGCTGGCCCCTCTGAGAACTCAATGCACAAACATTATTAAGACTGGAGGTTTGAAGGATCATTAGGCTGTCAGGAAGATTTAAACCCACCAAACCTAAAACAGCTGGCAGGGGACAAGAGGAGCTGACAGCTCTCCAGAATTCACTGGATTTTAAAGCAGACAGCTTAAACCAGAGTGTAGACAGAACAGCAACCAGGTAGCCCATCCCACCATCACACTTGGATCCCATCCATTCAGGGGAAGTGAGGAGAAGCCTCAGCCCACAGTAAGCAGCAAGCCAGAGCAAGTCAATCATAAAGCTCTGTCAGGGGTGTGGGGACCGCAATCACGGGGCCAAAGCATTGGATAGAGGACACAGTGAAGTGGGGGAAGGGAGGAGCGGGGGAGCTGACAAACTCTGTTCTTCACATTTGAAAAATCCTTGCTGGGGCTAGAGAGATGGCTCTGCAGTTAAAATCACCAGCTATTCTTGCACAGGACCTGGATTCAGTCCCCAGTAGCCACATGGCAGCTAACAATCATCCATAACTCCAGTTCCAGGGGATCTCACCTTCTTTTGGCCTCTGCAGACATTGCACAGATAGGTACACTTACATACATCCAGGCAAAACACACTCATACACATAAAATAAATATAAATAAAAAATTTTAAAGAGGATAATCCCTTGCTGCCCCAGGACAAAAGGCTAAGTGCTAAGGAATCAGGATAAAAAATATTAAATTGAGAGGCTAAGGCAGGAGAATCACAAGTTCAAGGCCTGTCTGAGCTACAGAACGAGTTCAAGATCAGCCTGGGCAACTTAGTAAGACCCGGTCTCAAAAAGTTTTGTTTTGGTCTTTTTAAAAATGGTTAGGATTTCACTCTGTGGTGGGACTGCTTGCCTAGCATGTAGGAAGCCCTTTGTTCAATCCTCAGCACTGCAAAAGAAGAGGAGGAGGAAGAGGGCGACACAGATCTGGTAATCAACAGAGCTGGGAAGGCCAGAGGGGGCCTTAGAGACCCTGCTCAGCCCCAAAGAACAGTGAAGGCAAGGAGGTCAGTGTCCCAGGCCTGGTCCCAATCAGCCCTGCAATTTGCACCCTGAACAGAGGCAAGGGGATGTGGGGACGAGCAGCCTCCAAAGCCCTTCTACCCTTACCTGCCCATCATTCAACACAGCGATGTCTCAAGCCCTGAGCAACCTGCCCAATAGCACAGAGCAAGGAAGAAACAACTGCTTCTCTCCTCTTCTCTGGCCATGACAGAAAGCAAACACACGACACACACTGATGCGCCTGTGAACACACTTACCACGTGAGCTTGTTCCAGCCAGTTTGTGACCAAGATCTGGCAGAGGCTGGGCCCTTGAGGGCTGCCTGAGCTGAAAGACCAATGCCATGGGCAAACAAAAATTCCACAAGGGACTCAGAAGAGAAAGCGGTCCTCCATGCAGTCCCAGCCTGGGCACAGCCACCGCTCTGCACCTTCCTCAGCAGTTGTCTGAGTTTGCTTGTTGGGGCAGAGCCTAGGATCGTGTGCAGCCCAGGATGCACAGTGGGTTACGTAACTCCAGAAACCCAGGAAATCTATCACCTCATCTTGTTAAACCACCCCAAACAGAAAAGACGCACCCACAACAGGACACCTCTGCAGGGTGAGGGTGAAGGGGAAGCAGGGAGAAAAGGCTTTGTGATTGGTGGCTAGTTTTGTCTAAAATGTAGAGTGGAGTACAAAGCTTCCTGTTCTTCTCTGGGCTCCCTGGGAAGTGGGGGTGGAGGCGGGATGCCAGGCAGTGTCCCTGGGCTGCACTTGGCAAAGCCCTGAGTCCACAGCACACTCTCAGGGATAGTCTCCCAAAGAGCATGTTTCATTTTATGTCTTTGTTACACTGCCCAGCTGATAACAATTTCCCTTTGGGTGGAGGCTGTGGGGGCTGCAGAGGCTGCAGGGGCTGCAGCAGCTTCTGGGGCTTCACGGGCTGGTGTCTAACTCCTTAAATGCCCTTGGGCATTACTGTATACCGAACCACTGGTGGGCATGCCAAGCTCTGGTTCTCAGTGGGCCTCTGGGCTTGCTATGGGTATCTCAGCAGAGAGCCTCAGGTTTCCACATCCCAGGGGCTGGAGGCTACAGTGTTGCTTTCTACCATTACTTTTCCTTGAGTTGTCACGCTTGAGAAAAGTGAAACTGGTTTAACAAGCTGCAGTTCATGGGATGTCACTGGCCAAGTCAGGACTGGAATCCCAGCATGCATGTTTAAACAGCTTTGCCTGTGAGGTCTGGTCCTCCCTCCTCCTTTCCCCTCCAAAGCATGCAGAAGACGGTCTTCCATGCCCTCCATGTACCTTGCTCTTCCTGCCCTGAATGTGCTATATAACAAACTTCACCTGCCTTTCTATCTCCCCAGTCAGCCTGCTTCCCAAGTGTTAGAGAACCCAGGCCTCAGAGTCCACAGACTTGAGCAACACTCTCCACTCAGGACTCAGACCTGGGCAATGTGCCCCCCTCAGGACTCAGACCTGGGACACACTCCCCACTATGCTGAAGGGCTCACAAGGGAGCCCTACTAGGAGGCCTATATACCTGGAGTGAAAGAGGTACAGAGGATATGGGAAATGGATGATGCCACTGAGGTTTGGGGAGTAGGATTCTGGCTCTGTGTCCTGCAGGTACCAGACAAGCAGAAGGCGGACCTGGGGCACAACCTGAAGACAGTGCGTGCACCTCACTAGAGGGAGCAGGAGAGAGGTGCACAGGGGCTCAGCACAGGCATGAGACACACTGAGCACACCTGGGGAACCCAGCCTTCTCTGTGCCACTTAGGAGCCAGGCAACTCCAGGAACACAGGAGGTCCTCAGAATTCAGAACACTCCCAGAATCAGGAGGAGCAACCAGCAGCCAGTGCACACCTGCAAAGCATCACAGACATCATTCGAGATAGGAGGACAAAAGCAAAATAAGACAAAATGGAAACGAGGGCTAACATCCCATGGGACACCATTGCATGTAACCCAGACAGTTGTCACTGGCTGCTGCATGCACACCACCCACACTGTGTCTACTCACAGCCCTTTCAACACTGCTTCCAAGGCTTGTCTCACTGTTCGCTGAGGACAGAGCTGACACAAAGTGCCCATATGAGAGCTATCCTTAGTGGGCTGCTCACTACTTCTCCTGCTCCTGAGACACTGAAAGGTACAACTGTGAGAACCACTATTGCAAACTTGACAGAGTACCAAAGGCATGCATGGTGTGTGGCACCCTTTCGACATCCTGCAACAACATGGCATGTGGCACCCTTTCTGCATCCCACAACCACACTGTTTGTCACTCCCGTTACACTCCTCCAAGTCTGGAGAAACCAAACCCCAGGGGGAAGAAGAAGTCAAACTACACTCAACACCTTTCAGGGGCCACACATGCTTCTCTGGATCCAACCTATCTGTCTTTAGCCTTTGTGACAAGTCTGTGAGGTGCTGACCAAGCCACAGAATGCTCCCCCACAAAGCAGGTTCTAGATGGGAGACCCTGATCCCAGAGCTCAGACTGATGATTCCATCCTCCCTGTGATGGTCAATATTGGATCCACAATCACATCAGAGACAAACCTCTGGGTATGTCTGTGAGGGAGTGTCTCTACTGAATTAACTAAGGACAGAAGACCCAACCTGAATATGGGAGGCACAATAACATGGGCTGGGGTCCTGGACTGAATACAAAGGAGAAAGTAAGCTGAGCACAAGCATTTATCTCTCTCTCTTTGCTGTTTGTGGACACAATGTGACCAGCTGCCTCATAATCCAGCCACCAGTCCTTGCTATGATGGACTAACCCTTCAAAACTGAGGGCCAAGATAAACCCTTCCTTAAGTTGCTTTTGTCAGGTATTTTGTCACAGCAAGAAAACAAGTAACTAATACACTCCCAGACTGGCTCTTGTGGCTGCATTTTTTTCCCCAAATCCTGATGACTGAAGCCCCTCCCTCCCCTTCTCCAGCAAGGTAAGGACCAGCATACCGGTGATGGTGCATGCATCTCGGTATCCTCTGGAGCTGGGAGCATCTTCCACAGCTTCACTCACATAGTGCTCTTCAGGGATGCCCGGGCTGCAGGCTAGGACTGCATGGTTGCAGGCCTCTGAGGGGGGCACGGAGCTGGCCAAGGTGTCGTCGTGCAGGGCTGTGGCGTCCAGCTTGGCAGGTTTCAGGGGGAGGTGCCCACTGCCATCGGGGGCCCCGATGCCGGAGTCAGGGGCAGTTGGGCAGATGGCCCCTGGGAGTTTTGGCACACCAGTAGGGGCGGCTCACAGAGAACCTGTGGAACAATCCAGAGAGAAGGGCACCATTACATGGAGTCTGTGAATGCATCCAGACAAAATTTTTAGAAAGTAATATGATGGGGATTTATGGGAATTCAGAGAAGTGTTTCATTCAGGTCAAGGCAGCCACAATCATAGGCTCTGGTTCCAATAACAGAACAGCAGAGACAGTTCACCAACTAATCAGGCCTCCAGACAAACTTGGAGCATGTGGCTTCATACACTTACTGAAATCAGTCTGGGGGCAATGGGGACACTAAGAAAGAAACAGGCTGGCCTCAGCTAGAACAAGGTGACCTCAGCTAGAATGATGATAGCCATCTTGAAAAAAGGACACCTGAGCATGTGACCACCAAGTTGTATGGGAAGAGCGTGAGTGTATTTGCATAGTCAATTACAGAAGATGTGATGTTTCTTTAAACTCTTCCAAACACCATGCAGTCTGTGCTAAGAACTTTAAGGTCAGCTCCCACCTTAAGCTACAGTGAGAAATGAGTGGACTCCTTTAAAAATGTCCAGACCTTATCCCAAAAAGCACACGGGGTTTCAGGAAACTAGGTCCATTCATAAGCTCATGTAGGGAGCCAAGTACAATGGATTAAGGATGCATCAACATCAGCCTTAGATGATTCAGATCTCCATTTAAAAACCTGCCTAGGGTGGAGAACTCAAAAAACTAAAAATGAACCTACCATTAGACCACTCCCTGGCATATACCCAAAGGACTCATCCTATTGCAGAAACATTTATATATCCATGTTTGTTGCTGCTCTTTTCACAATAGCTGAGAGATGGAAGTAACCTAAGTGTCCCTCAACTGACAAGTGGTTAACAAATTACTCAGCAGTAAAGAAAGATGAAATCATGAAATTTGCAGGTAAATGGGTGGAACTAGAAACTGTTATATTAAGTGAAGTAACACAGACTCAGAAAAAAAAATCAACATATGTTCTCCCTCATATGTGGATCCTAGAACCAAACCCTGATAAGTGAGTATGTAACCAGACATAACTACAGGAACCAGGATAATGAAAAGGAACCAGGAAGGTAAAGGAAAAGAAAGAATCTGAGAGAGAAGAACAGAAGGAGACAGATGTTACTAGGGGAGAAATGGATAAAAATGGGGTTATTTAAATGGGAGGAGGGAGGGCAGGCTATACAAGGAACCTTGGGGATAAAGGAAAAGAAGGAGCTCAAGAGAGGTGGGACAATAGGAGAAGGGTGTTATTAGCAAGGGAGAAATGGGCGAAATGAGACACTTTAAATGGAGAAACCATGGTAGAAGGGTTAGACAGGGAGAGAGAGAGGAGAGATAAATAATGCCTAGCTAGTTAAAAAAAAAAAAGAGGGAATCATATTAGTCCAACAACCTAATGACAAGTTACACATACAGTGCCTCTACATGAGTCCATGTGTATAGCTAAAGGCTACATAACAAGAAACAATGCCAGACAGGAGAAAAGTTCCGTGAGTTGTTGGCCAGGGTGGTCCAAGAAACTCCCAACATTACACAGGCTATTTCCACAGCCCTTGATGGCCTCTCAGAACTTGAAGGTAAGACCCTACTGCTGAGGACAGGACACTTCGGATACGGATTTGAAGCAATAGATCTGCAACTGATCTGAAACCACTTCCCCTGAAGGCTAGCTCTCATAGCTTTGGAGAGCACGTGAGGGTGCCAAGGGAAAATACCAATCAGTGATCTAACACCAGCTTCAATACCAAATAACCACACCAGTGGCCAGCACAGCATATGACATTGGTGCAGTAGTGGCACTTTTTTTTTTTTTTTTTTTTTTTGGTCTTTTTGAGACAGGGTCCCCCTGTAGCCCCAGCTGTCCTGGAACTCACTATGTAGACCAGGCTGGCCTTGACCTCACAGAGATCCACCTGCCGTGGTACTTTAATCTTGGGGGCAAACAACAGCTACCTAACTGGACTAAAAGTCCACTCAATGGGAGGAAACTTAAGTGTGGTACTGTAAACATAACCAAATATACATGGCTGGATAGGTCATAGATCTTAGAGAAAACCCTAAGACTGTCACATCCCTAGACTAATGTAATTTATTGCTATGTGCAAAAGATGTAGCCTTATATTTACAGAAAAACATCTCAGTCACTACTCATCAAAGAAGCTTATGACTATTACCAAGTACCACAACTGGTCATATACAGACATTGTCTATAAATTGCCCAGGCCAAGCAACACATCTACAATGCAATCTCTATACCTAAGGCACAGGGAACATAGAACAGGGGTAATGAATATAACACTACTGAATCTCTCAATTCTCATTAATGAAGCTCCCTCATGTAACAGAGGGCCAGGAACACAAAAGGTCACAAATGGTCAAAACGTAGAGATTAAGAGTCTGCAGATTGCTGGTCCTTGAACAGGACTCCTATATTAAGCTTCACCCACCCAGGACTCAGGGACCATTGTGGAAAAGGGGGCAGAAAGATTGTAAGAGCCAGGTAGGAGGCAAATGACCATATGGAAACAGAGTCCTACAAGTTCCTGGGACCCTACTCATATGATTCTATGGCAACGGTGTCAGCATACACAAGTCCCATGCAAACTCAGGCAGACAGTAACCCAGCATAGAACTGGGATAATGAAGAGTAGACCCCAATCTTAGCTGAAGAAACACTGGCAACTGATTATTGCTGGGTGAGGAAGAGTTGATCTTCCTAAAACAAGAGACTCTAGATAGGCTGACTAGATCTCAGTGAATGGACTTGTACTGGGGAACATCTGGGGTCACTGACTTGACACAGTGGGCCTTAACATGGATGACAGAGTATATGGGTTCCAGTGGGGCAGGCCTATGGGCAGGTACTGGTGGGGATGGGGGGGGTATAAAGATGATTAAGATTGTTTGAGATAGTCTGTATAAAATAGACAAAAATTCAATGAAAACAAATAAAAATAATTTTTTAAAAACCTGCCTAGGGGCTGGAGAGATGGCTTAGCAGTTAAGAACACTGGTTATTCTTGCAAAAGACCCGGTTTCAAATCCCAGCACCCAGGGTTCAATTCCCAGCTAACAACTGTCTGTACTCTCCAGTTCCAGGGGATCCAATGGCCTCTTCTGTTCTCTGAGGGCAATGCATGACATGGGTGTACTTACATACATGCAGGCAATATATGCACACATATAAAATAAAAATAATTTAGGGACTGGAGATTTAGCTCAGTGGTAGAGCACTTGCCTAGCAAGTGCAAGGCCCTGGGTTCGGTCCTCAGCTCTGGAAAAAAAAAAAAAAAAAAAAAAAAAAAAAAAATTTTTAACAAACATTTTCAAA